GCAGTGGGGTCTCTATTCAATTTTGTTTTATTTTCATTAACATACATTACAGATTAGATAACAGGCGTATTTTGACTGTATCTCACCATCAGTTCCTTTTTCTTTGGAAAACCTTTGACTTGATTATTGTATCACAGTTGAAGTGTTCAGCTGGTATCGTCACAAACAACCGTGCCGATCCAACTACAAATTGATCGTACCGTCTTTGAACTCCCCAGGTATGTCTCAAGAGTATTTTTTTTTTATGCGCACAAACGTATTGCAAGAGCATGGAAAACCAAGTATCGCATAAGAAATTAGAGAAGATTTCTTCTGACATCTGATGGTTGAAGAACATCCATACAGCCAATTTTCGTAACATATTCTTTATTGTCCTTTGAAGTAGCAAAGATCAAAGTGAAAAAAAGTGAAGTTCATGATCGCCACAGATATTATACACAAAATATTATCATGCAGATAGTAGATGGTTGCTTCAAATGTCTCCCAAAGGTCTCTATCTGGGTGCATTTAATGTTCAAGTCCATTCATTTAACCGTGTAAAAACCCTCTGCTCTTCACTTCACAACTCTCATCATTAATCCATTAGACTAGACTACGCTACGCGACGATACAAGACGATAAAATATATAAAATATCACCTGTTGTACATTTCTATACAGAAGAAAAACACTGCGCTTGTAATGTGATGTATTCATGAAATACTCTGCTGCCTATACAAAAATCTACAAGTGTTCATTTTAGTATTCACATATGAGATTTGTTAAAAACCAACAACTAATATACAATTTGCATTTCTTTGACATCAATCTCCAACATGGCCACTGCACAATGACAGAATAATAATAGGTCGAGCAAAAGTTATAATATACTCTGATAATATACTATGATAAAAGCACAGTATTAGTAGAAATGTCAGATAAATCGTTTAAAGACATTATTGCATGAAGTTTTAATACACAGAGAAGCAGTTAAAAACATTAACGGGGAACTTTGGAGCTTTTCAACTTGGACCCTATTTTCAGATGTTTTTGTGTCTAAGTGACCTCAATGTTTGCTTCTGGACTTCTTTTCTCTACATCTTGGCTAAACAGCTCAGAGACTGAATATTGCAATACAACTCTAAAAACTCTAAAAAGGACAAGCTTGCTCAGTTTGAATGCATCTTTAAAATGACACCACAAAAAAATCTCACCACAAATGAGATTGAGTGCAAATGTTTGAGGTTGCTTTAGTCTTGACGGGATCGGGAAGAAACTGAACGATTTCCACAAAAACATAGGAAAATAGGGTGGAGCTTGAAAAGCTGCAAAGTTACCCTTTAAGACACTGTTAATTAGCAGTTTCAATGCAGAATCAGCACTTTGAAGAGTGCTCATTGGTTGTATTTTGAATGACAAATGAAAATACTGGTTTGGCAGGTTTTATTGAAAATATAGAGAAAATGAAGTCATCTGTGAGCTTCCTCTGTGATGCCTGTTATTCAGTAAAACTCCTTTAAAACCACTTCACTTATAAATGCAAACATTCAATACTACATTCAGCAGGATATATATCGCTAAAACATTATGATAAAGCTATGTACAATGTTGGTTCTGAATGTCTATTCTACTAAAATAACTGCCAGCAGACCATATATCTATTTTTGATCTTTCTCATAGAAACACGGTAACTCTTCTTTCCCCGGTGTGGATACATGCCATCTCACTGCATTAACTCATTAACCAGTTTGTAAGAATTATCAAGTATTATCATTTTGAAATGTGTAAAAAGACAAGTGACAGCTAGACTGTAGAAGCGACTCCACACAACGCAGCAGCCAACGCTCACAGCTGAGATACATGTGACTGTTCAGCTGAGTGTGTTGCTTTTCCTAATAAATGCGTACGACAAGCATCGGAAGCAAAACATTAACGGATGGTCGGAATGTCCCGTTGAAACTGAAGCTATGAGGAATTTTTAAAAGACCCAGAATCTCCTGGTTCCATTGTTCATGTAAACAAAGTGTTGACTTTCAGTTTGAGGTTGGTTCAAGGGAGCCATTAGCTGAATCCAATATGCTTTCGGCCACTAGTTTGACATCAAGAGTTTGTATTTTGTAATTTTTCAGTAAAATGTCTTACGACGTGACTAAGTTTGGATTTAAATAGTCGCTTTCTCATTTAGATTAGGGTATTAAAATCTCTTTGTTTTAAAACAAAGATTGTTGAGTCCAACAAAGAAATACAGTGAAATAAAATGCATGTTTAGTTATCTGTTTTTCTAAGATAATTGCATTTAATGTCAACACAAAATGTGAGATGGATGTTTTCAGGCCTCCTGCACTTGAATCATAAAAAGTCTTGAGACGGCATGCTGCAAAAGGTGTCTCGGTTTCCCAAATTAATTCTGATCCATTTTGGTTGTCCGTGCTCTTGAGGTCCGTCCATTCCTGCCTCGCAAACGTTCACACTAAACGCCAACTACAGATCTTAAAAGATTTACAGTTTGCCTGTCTTTCCCCCATTGACACATCTACACACCAATGGCAGTGAGCTGCCGTGTGAGGTGCTGGGTCGACCATCAGGAGCACGTCTGGGGGTTCGGTGTCTCTTGGGGACACATGGGGAACCGGCAACCCTGTGATTAAAGTAAAGCTTCACTTAAGCTCTATTTGCTTCAGTGCAAACTAGAAAACATGTATTCTTATTAAGCATCATACCGTGACGACAGACGCAAGGCTTGTATTGTGAAGCACCTGCTGAATGTGTCAAGTTTGCATTGATTTCGACTCTTCATTGCAAGGGAGGAATGGACTTCAGCAAAGCTCAAACAAAGTACAGCAAAGAGCTGAGGACCCACAAAACCCCAGTTTATTAGAGGATTATCAGACTCATCTCCTACTTGGAAGCTGTGATTAAACTTTTGAATGCATTTACCAATAATGTCGTGAAGCTAAATAGAGCAGTTTGAGGCATTTCAAGTAATTTGCTTATGACACCATAAATGCATATAGCTTATGGAAACAAATGTGAAACCTGCATTTTATTTGTTCCTTTGTTGGGTTTGGCGGCTCTCCCACATCCGAACTGAAACCCCCTAATTTCACAGCTCCTTTGGCTCGCCGTAGTCGTTGTACATGACGGTGAGCGTCTGCTCGTCACAGGCCTTGTGTACGTCCTGGCCCATGTTCGACCAGTTCAGCCCGAAGGCCTTGGTGTCGGTGTAGCGGCAGGAAAGAAACTTGAGGGACATCCTACGGAGGCCGATCTTCTGCTCCTGAAGAAGACCCTTACACCACGGGGACAGTTCATCTATCTGGGAGAGGATGAGGCCGGCCTTCCTGTTGGAACAAAGTGGACAAATATGTTAAGTGGGTTTTTTGTTTGCCTTGTTAATAACATCCACAAACGTGTCATAAGTATCAGAGCAAGAGCAATTTTCATTCAAATGCAACAACAAAAAAGACAACATATGCATACATTTGATATTGTTTTATGCAATATCAGAGATTATTATATGGTTGTGCCTCTGTCATATAAAGTGCCAAAATATGTCTTCAAGCACAAGTGTAAAATTAAGCACAGCTTCAATTCAGTCAGAGCACCAAAGTCACACTCGTATCAGCTGATCGGCATTCATCCTTCACAATCCTTCACGTCCATTTATACTAATACATTGTATCCAATATATAACCTCATGCCACCCTCCCTCCACCACCTTGACCTCCCATTTCTATGCTATTTCTGGGATTGTTAATGTAATAATTGAAAGGTTTTAATGTATCATTTATTTAATACTTTTTTGAATGGTTCCTCAGAACAGCAGACACTCTTCCACCAAAAAAACACAACTGTGTAACCATGTGCAATATACTATATATGACCAATATGTTGACTTAAGTGTACCTGACTGAACTTTAATAGCATCATAAAGCTGATCATAAAGCTGACATGATCTTAGACCGATGTGCTTTTTAGGTAATCGGGACCCTGAACCGAACTGGTCAGCCAGAAGATGGTGTAAAATGTAGTTTTTCTTAACACCAAAGAGCACCGCCCCGCCGGACTGCCACGTCATCTACCCTCCTACTTTGTCACATAGGAAGTCATTCAAAAACACCACAACACCTCCACGGGAGCGTGTCCAATGTTGAAATCTACTTGTCTACTTTATATTGTGGTGCGCAGATGTACCGCCATATTGTATTTTTTAACAGAATTCTCCAGCATTCCATAGGAGGAGGGACCGAAAGACCCAGCATAGCCGCTGACCACCAGCCTGCTGTTCGGCTCATTTTCTGTAACCAGTATAGAATGAAAGCATGGCGGAAATAGCAAGCTAGCTAACTAGCCAGCTGTCTGCTAGTTAGCTAGCAAGCTTGCTAATTCCACCATCCTTTAATGTGGAGTTAGCAAGCTAGCTATCAAGCTAGCTATCTGCTAGTTACCTGGCTAGCTAGCTTGCTAATTCCACCATGCTTTAATGCAACACAGGTACACAGAAAATGAGCCGAACAAGTTGCAACTCGTGGCGATAACAATGTGCTTTGCTTCTCCGCGACAGGCATCGCTAGTCGATGAAACATTAAGTTATGAAATTCTACTCATTCTCTCTGGCTCTCTACACTTCGTAACGTTACTACTCCGCTGCTCACATAAAAATGTCCACCGCTCTGAACATCCTGCTACATTGATGTGAAAGTTCTGTTCTACTCCTATTGGACATTGGACTGTCTACTGTTTTAGAATGACATCACTGCGTGACAGAAACTAAAACCTACCCACTGCTTCCCCGAAGGAGCTCTCAGGGTAGGGTGCACTGTTACTGACACATTCCACCACTGACCCAAAAAGAGCTGGTCCTGTGGAGGAAAACAGGCCAATGGACAGCCGTACAGCGGAGGAAATATAAAATGCATGAACTTGTCCTTCGGGCCAAACCAGGCCAGCTGAAATATCACCTCCATTAGTAACATGATGCACTTAATAATCATTAAGCCTGATGCAGCCTGTTTGGCCCTAGACGTGAAATCCTGTCAAGTGCCTACAGTCAGAAAATGGCAGCGGGAGAAGATTTCATTCATTCCACACACACTTTCTCCTCATTCCTCAGCCAAACCAGCACTTCTACAGCCCGGCGTCCTCGTTCTGCCAAGCCAACGGAGTCACCAGAGCCTCGGCACATTCTGCTAAACTGATGACACATCGGAGCGCCCGGGCTGCACATTCAATGCGCACAAGTTAGAGGGAATTAAAGGCTCCTACTGATGAACAAAGAGCTAAGTGTTTTTACCTCTCCGTCGCTCTAATTCTCTAGATTTCCTTTTCACATGCAGAATACTTTCAGCATATGACTTCACAGAGCGCACTGCCCTGCAGCTGTTTGATTTCCCTCCCGAACACATCAATTTAAATCAGTTTGGAGTGCAAAATGGGCCGGAGAGAGCAAACCACACACAGTGAATTCACAAACAATACAATGTTCTGCTAATCATCAGTGGGCACTCACCTGGTAGTCATGAGGTGGATGATGATGATGATGATGATGATGATGATGATGATGATGATGATGGGCATGCAAATGATGATGGGGAGGTGGGAATGACGAAAACAGAGATGACACTGACAGATGGCAGGGGACGTAATGGAGTTGATGAAGTGGTGATTGTCAAGGGTGATCTCAAAATGACTGATGATGAGAAAGATGAAATAACTTTGGTTCAAAGCTCTTGACCTTCATCAGCAGAAGCCAATGAAGTTCATGATATATACGACCTAAAGCTCAAGAAAAGTTGCTCAATGGACCATGTGGTGTGATTGTTTTCTCAACTGTTGTATCCAATGTTGAGAAACCGACGGTCTCAGGCATTAAAGTGGTCTAAAATCATTTACATTATCATGACAAAGGTGTAAAAACCATCTGCTAATGAGGACCATGTGGTATGATCAAAAGAGCTGCTAAATGGACCTTGAGGTGAGATTGCTGTCTTACCTAAAGACCCTGATATTCTCTACAACACAAGTCTATAATAAATACATGTACTATTTGGAGGTAAACGTACTTCTGTCAGAGATGAAAGTAAACATACATTTACTCCTGTTCTGTACTAAAGTACACTGCTGAGGTACAAAAAGCGTATGTGTATTGATTACAAAGTGCTTTACAAAAACAAAAAATGAAACAATGAGAGACAGAAGTTAACTCTTATCTTTAAATCAATCCTGATTATCCTGTATCTTTTAACGTATTAATGGTCTTTTTATGACACCACTAACAACTACAGATAGTACTAGCAAAGTCGAGTAATACATGTTTGATTTTGGAGGTTTACATTCTCTTGAGGGTGCTTAAAGTTGTTTTTGGGCACTGTTCCGGGATAGTGGTGAAAGAAGTTAGTCTGGTGGAGATCTGCACTTTTTCTAGTTCAATAAAGTGGCACATGGTCCACTCTCAGGATCCAAATCGTGATCTAAAACCAACCATCAGCAGTAAGTAAGAAAACATGTTTGTTTTATTTGTAACTGCGGTCTCTGTGGCGAACACATATCCTCTTGTCAAACATCCATTCAAATGATGACCCACAAGGCTTTTTTAAAATTTCATTTTGATGATGAGCTGAAATTCTTTGGTGTTTTCAGCTTAAAGTTAGAACTGACCGACACACTGCAACAATACAGACACCGTGTGGTCCGTGGCTTCATCTCCTGTCTCATACCGACTCGGAGTCTGACAGCACATCACCACATTTCGATGTGTTCATGTTATTACTGCATGGCAAAATGAGCCAACAATTCATTTCAAATAGGCCTTTTTGGCATTTGTCTCTTATTTGCAAACCGTTTCACATGGAGAGATACAGAGTTATTGAGTTGTTTCTGGAATCGGAGTGTATTTTGAATCATATGCATACATATGGGCGCTCAGCAGGAGGGCTTCCCCTTTGCTAATGCGTATGGACTGAGGCCTAACAGCGACCTCTACGTCCTCGGTCATGCCTTCTGCTCTAGAAACTGCAGAAAGAGAAACAACAATGTCAAAGATGTCAGTCTTCTCTTCTTCTTGTGTCTGTGCTGCCGTACTGTCAGTCATATAATTTTTATGAAACCTCTTTATGTTCCCAATATTTTGCCACAGGTTTTGAAGGTTTTGGGGAAAATCGGGGTGTTTATTTGCTTTCAAAAAAAAAAAAAAGAAAAAAAAAAAGTGGTTTCTTAGGTTTTCTTCTTCTTCTTCTTCTTTTTTTTTAGGAGAGCAGGGGAATGTTTCACAGGTTCCAAATAGCAACGGTTGTTACCATTTAAATCCTTGTGTGTGTACGGGAGTGGAAAATGGTCTCGAGAGTGCCTTTAAAAGATTCTTCCCCCTAAACTTATGACTGTGCACGTGCAAGCATGCATGTAGACAATAAACAATTCACTGCATACATACAGACATGCTCACCCTTAAGGCACACATTAGAATGGCAAGGTGCACTGCACGTGCGCGCACACACACACACACACACACACACACACACACACACACACACACACAC